TCTGACGAAGCTTTACCATAGGCGAAAATTGATCCCAAACCATAAGATGCTTTCTAAAATATTGACTCCTACCTGCACATTAATTGCCTATCGATTTCCTCAGTTACAGAGACAAAAAGGCCCCACTGAGCATTTGAATAACAAAAGATAATTTGTTCAGCAGTTCGTTTGCAGTCCTGCTTTTCAATCAGTGTTAGTAAGGCTGGATCTAAGTGCATTTCTAAACCTGCGTTTTTAAAAGGTGATTGTGTCTGTATAAAACATTTTCAGCATATGTGAATAAGCACAAGGCTCTTCATGTTTTGTGTCTTGTTTTACTCACTAATCATGACATAAAATAACAGCATTTGAGTGTGCTGCAGTGCTACATTCCAGTTAAAAACCCCACCAACCTGAGCCTGGTGACCATTGCATCATGCCAGCCCCTCCAATTAAAATTAATGGAATGTTACCAGAATAAAATGGATTGTAACAAAGTAACCACCCACTGCCATTACTTCTTACTGAAATGAAACATGCAGACAACAAGTCAGTTATTAAACCATAACTATATGGATTAGTAGTATGGCTGGTCTTTTGTCCTCACTCATCAGTCAGGCAATGTATATATAATATACAAATGCATGTCACCAACCTAGTGGCATAACAGTACAGCAATAAGCAAAGAACAGAGCTGACCAAGGAATGCACACTGCAAGGAGTCAAAACAATATTTTATATAAACAAGGGCAGAATCAAAAACCCAAGCCCTGTGGATGAGAAATCGTGCCTCCTTGGACAATTCTATTTCAGTCAGTGGAGAGGAGATGAAAAATTACTCTCGGTGGGGAAATGAAGGACAAACACAGTCTCAACATTAAAACAAGGTTGATAAAAAATCTCCCTGCCTTTGTCCTACCAGCTCAGTTTTATGTCTCAGAGAAATGGGCACAAAACACATGATAAATTTCAGAACTGCTTAAGGAAAAATCAAGAGCACAGCCTGAAGGGAGCTTTGTTCTGTTATCAAGAGTTGTAAAATCATCCGTTATCATTATTGGCACACAAATGTAACTTCCCCTCCAAACAGCAATAACTGCAGTCTTCCCAGACCTCTGTAGTGCAGCCAGAATTAATCCCTGTTTTCCCTGGGAAAACTTGTTCCTGGGGAATGCCACTGGAACCTGCACTATGGAAGGCAAGCAGAAAACAAAGTTGTTCCTCAAAGGCCAGGCCCACATCAACATTGGGATGAAGTTTAGCAGTATCAGGATGGAGGTTTAATTTATACCAAAGCCATTTTCACAATGCTGATGAATTCATTATTAGCGGTCCAAAACCAAAATAAAACTTTCAGTTACAACAGGGCTGTGAAAACGATGCTGAGCTCCAACTTACCTATTCTTCCTGCAGGCTACGGTGCTCCCACAAACAAAAGCTCTCGAAGCAAACGTAACCCTGCTACTCACAAAAATCCATTTCACACAACAATGATATTTGCAGAAAGATTAAGCTGAAATATTATATATTCAGTGTTGTTTAATTTCCATTGCGGAGTTAGCAGTTCAAACAACACACTGACATTCCAGCAGCCTGTCTGCTCCCTGTTTTGTTCCACCTGCCACTCATTTAAGAACTCATTAAGCTGCACACCTGCAACCTGACCTCTGGTCCCAACATTAACCCGACACTGCAGGTGTTGGCCATCGAGCCCAGTTAACAGCATTCCCTGGAAGACAGGACAGCAAAGCAGTTAGATTGTGGTTTTGTACAAACATGTACAAACTATGGCAAGATCCCACTCCAACACCACGAGCATCTCTGGTTCAAAGCCACTCCTGTCATTCTGTAATTTGAATTAATATTTGAAAACAACAGATGAGTTGTTACACACGGTCAAGTCAGAGTACTTACTCACCATAAATCTACTTAAAAACAGAAATTACTATGAAGAGGCTTAGTAAGTACACAGACAATACTGAAAGAAATTTCCCTAATACAAAAAAAATTAGGTAATACAAAGAAGTGCTTTACAAATCACAGGTAAAGCAGATTGCAAAATATCTCATGCTTAAACACACTGATTCAATGCTTTAGTTAATGTACTGCGTTGAGTCCTCAATATCCACATGTTTAAAAGTGTGGTCCTTTTTAATACTTGTTTTTACATTACCACTCTATTTTCTTTTTTTTGTGCAATTGATAACCACCTATATTTTCCAAGGTCTTACAAAGGGGGAGAGAACTGCAAATAAGTATAAAACCCCTACAATTAGCACCAAAATAGTGTTGTAATCATGTACTAAAAAAAATGCATTAAAAAGATGAGTACTAGAACTGTGAAGTGCTAAACAAAATTATGGCTCTAGCTCCTCCAGCAAATAGAGAATTGACTGGACTTCAATTCACATTAAATTCCCATGGCTTATTGTCAGAATGAGAAATAAAATCTACCACATCTCTCCTGTTGCCAGCTTAAAAAGCAAGGACAGCATCAAAGGCTCAGCAGAGGAAAGCAGAAAGTAGTTAAGGAAAGTCAAACAGAAGAAATCCACCAAAATAACCCCATCCAACCCAACCCCAGCCAAAAAAAGTGGGAAGAAATCCTATAGCACTTAACTCTTCCCTGAAACAATTCATCATTCTGTCTCTTAACTGAATTATTTTTTCTTCTCCTCCTCAGCCCTGTGCCCCCACTGGAATGGGATCCAGGAGATCTTCATGCTCAATCTGAAGGAGCACTCTGGAGAAACGTGGCCCAAGTGATTTGCTCAGCACTGTGAGCACAGTCCCTCCTGTTTGCACTGCCAGGGGCCCTGAGGCAGGAGGTGACTCCCCTTGGTACAGCTGTGTACTGACTCTGGTGAAGTTCAAGCTCTTACAAACAGTTCTTCCAACACTACAGCTGGAGCTATTGGGCACTTTTCATCACCAGAGGAAGGGATCCTGCAAAGCCTCTCTGAACTCTGCAAGAACATGGTGCTGTCACCCCAGAGCAGGTGGCTGAAGTGTTGAGCACAAAGAACCCAATTCCAGGATCAACAGGACATTCTGGGAAGCTGTCAGGAAACCTGCTGAGCTTTTCACAGATCAGTAAACAACACTGCTCTCCCCTCAAGAACTGAGGTTACAGTGAGCACCAAGAGTAAGGGTGAAAGCTCCTGTGAGCACAGAGGTTTTTAAAACAGCCTCTGGCACTCTCAAGCACAGTCAGAGTGTGCAAAGTATCTGCAGGTATTAAATAATCTGCAAAGAAGCTGCACTAGCTTTGGTGCTCAGGCAACCTTCTCCTTGTTTTATTAAATTGGCTGAAAAGCCTGTAGCTATAGAAAGGAAAACAACAGTTAAGCCCAAAAATGCTGCACTAAACCAAACAAAAGGAGAGAACTGAGTATTAACTTAATTCGGTTTGGTAAATTCCAGGGCTGAAGCAAAACACGAGAGACTTAAGGATTTAATATTAGTTTTCATTTTTTCCTGATCCTATTTATACCAATATCACTGCTTATAATGCATAGATAACTTCCCACACGTGATCACAAGTAGAAATACTCAGAATGTGAATTTAGGAGAGGTAACTACATGTTTTGCCCATAATTTTATTAGATAATTCAGGGATTTGAGTCGACCCTGCACTTTTTTGAGATTTAAAAACTTGCTGCTCTTAGGAATAAGAAGAGGTATGGACCTGCTTTCTTACACAGGCAAAGTTACTTCTAATTATATAATAATAATCATAATTACAGAGTTGGTCCCAACACTGAGACTGCAGGAGGGCATCAGTGGAGCTGTAATTTAGAGATTGAACAAGACTGTCCCTTTCCAGCCACAGGTAGTCAGGAAAAAAATCCATGGTTCATGGCATCAGACAGAGAGTCTTTTAAGGATGTGCCATTCCGAAGCATTAGAGATGAAATCAAGCAAAATGTGCAGTGAAAGAAGCAGAAAGAATTATCACGTTTGCTGTGGTGTATTAGAAAAAGTGGTTATAGGTTATAGCTGGTTTTTTTTTTTAAAAACCCACTCAGTAATTCCATCTACTGTTGACACTATTTGTGTCTCAGTATTTCACAAGCCTGTTAAGGTCCCTTAAGAAAAAGCTTAATGGGTTTTGATAAACCTTGACTTTTCACTATTAGCATAATTATCTTCTATGCAAAATATAACCAGAGTATACAGAAGCAACTCTTCCTTCAGCGTGAGAGGGCAAAGATCCACTGTTCTTAAATCAAGATTTCTGAATTCCTAGAGAATAAAATTTAAGAACATGGTCCAAAAAATCACACGGTTAAAAAAAAATAAGGAGGGGGGACAAAGAACTGCATTTTTCTTATATTTGAAATATCTAAGCCTAGGATTTCTCAGAACATTGCTTGAGATTCCTCAAGGAAATGGGAAAACCCAGAAATGAGTCTCAAATGGCTGTTCCCTGGCTAGTTTATACTGCTGCTTAGCTGCTACCAGCATTTAAAGATAGTTAATATTTATACTGATCAGGAAATGTTTCAGTCATTAATTGCAGTTGTTTTGTGCTCCTCCTCCCTAAAATTACGGAAGAGCTGTGCCTCCTCTGAGGGTAAAAACTCACATGAAATCACAGCAGAGAAGGAAAAAAAATTAAGAGAAGATGACTCAAATTGGTCATTGTATAAAAACAGATAAACATGGGACCACTTTATTTTAGAATTTTTGATTAGTGAAAATTGAGAATAAACTTCACTACAATTCATAAAACAACCCAGCATCTCCTGCACATCCTGAATTTCAGCTATTTCTACTAGATAGCATTCTCTTCATCCCATAATTAACTATCGAATGCCAAACAAGATCCAGGTTTCCAATTCAACACCCATCATGACTACAATTTTCAAATTTTGCTGTAAAACACCTGAGACACCTCCAGGTGAACAAACAAACAAAACAATCTTCCCAATGCAGCAGCCCAGAACAAATCCACACACTGTGCCCTGGCATTTTAAAAGAGAAAATAACCCAGGAAAAAAGAAACCAAGCCACAGAGATGCAATCTAATGAAATAAGATTTTATTTTTGTTCTCCTTCCAGCACAGCCCACAGCAGTTCTGGTTCCTACCACTTGACTGGGCTTTGCCCTCGTGATTGTTCTGTCTTCACATAAGTGTCATACAGTTCTCTGAGATGCCACAGCAGCTCCTCCAAGTTGTCTCCTGTCAGTGCAGACAACGGGATGACCCGCTCGGCCACCCGCTCCCTGAGGAGGGGCAGATTGATCCTGGACTCAGCAAGGTCAATCTTATTCCCGATGACAACACAGGGCCTCTCCGACAATCCTTTGTCATACTGTTGCAGTTCATATTTCAAGTCTTGCAGCTGAACCCATGGCTGAGGCACAGAGAGATCCACCACGAACAGGAGGAAGCGGCAGCGCTCGATGTGCTTCAGGAAGGTCACCCCGAGGCCCCGGTTTTGATGAGCACCTTTGATTAGGCCAGGAATGTCAGCAACTGCAATGGGAGAAATTCCACAGTCAATCCACCATATCCAATTAAAAAAAACCCCAAATAACAAATCCCTTTTACTGGCCAGTGCAAATACATTTAGAGTTATGTCTCAGTGCATCAATATTAAAGCACGCCTCACCTTAAGTTTGCTGCTATTATCTTTTAAAACACTTAAATTTAGGTTGTTCCAGACAGAATACAGATTGCTAGTTAGATATCAAGGGTGGTACCTACAAGTGAAACATGACATGGGCTTTCAGTATAGTTTTGCTTGAAGTTCTTTAGAATTCTACAGGAACTGCTAAACTTGCTTCTGCAGCATTTCAAAGCATTGTCCAGGTGACACAAACTGCCATCAGGGTACGCACAACACGCTCCAATTCTTACCTGCCACTTGCTCATAGTCTTGATAGTGGACAATGCCAACATGTGGGTTTAGGGTTGTGAAGGGGTAGGCAGCCACGGCTGGCTTTGCACGGGAGATGGCTCTCAAAAGTGAGGATTTGCCAGCATTGGGAAAGCCCACCTGGAATACAAACACTTACATTTCTGAATCTTTAAAGAAATACGCAAAATTTCACTAGACTAGACAGTTATTCTGCAGTTGTTGAACTACAGTAAGAACACTCTGCAGCAAAGCATAACTTTAACAGCTCTACCAGCTGGTGTTAAAACATTTCCATACTCCATTATGAAAAAAGTTTAAGCCCTAAGTTGACTTGGCATTCATGTCTAAATACATTTTTCGTTTCAGAGGATGCTAAACTTGGATCTAACAAAATCAAATGTTTACTATCTGTAAAAAGAGAAAGACAGGGATGAAATATAAATTATGTGAACTTTATCAATTAAAGAAAACAAACTAATTTAGAAGAATTCTCTATATTGTCTTGTTCATCTGCAGAATCAACAGACAAAGCTGCTGTACCTCATCACCAATCACTGACGAATCTTGCACACTGCTTTTCTATATATAGTGTGGATTTTAGCAGAAGCAGGACAACATCAAGTTGCAAGAGAGTGACAGCTCTGTGAATCATTGTGGACACCTTTCTACCACATAATAGCAAGAAAGCATCGAGCTGCATCTCTAAACAAGCAAGCCAGAGGCTAACGAAAATGTTATCACCCATTATTTCTTCAGTCAGTCAAGTGTCATCCTACAATGATAAGGAAGCTGAAGAACCACAGCAACTCACCAATCCTGCATGAGCTGTTGTCTTGAGTTCCAGATGAAGGACCCTTTCCTGACCTGGCTCTCCCGGAGTAAATAATGTTGGAGACCGGTTTTCATTGGAAAGAAAAAAGCGATTCCCTTTCCCTCCAGCTCCTCCATAAGCTGCAACATACTCTTCACCATGCTGAGTGAGGTCAGCCACAACTTCCCCATCCTCCTTCACCAAAGTACCTACAGGGACCTTCAAGTGAAGAGAGATGCAAGCGTTACATGGAAGCTCAAAGCCTGCAGCAGAGCTGGTGGCAGCAGGTCCTTTACCAGACAATTTCAGACCCGCTGAAAATCACTGCTCCATGCTCTCAACCTGAAGAATCCAAAAACAGAATTGCATTTCATGAAGCTCACTTTCTGAACTCAAAGAGCACTGTCAGACATCTGCCTCTCATTAAAGTGTTAGCAGAACCACAAATGTCCTTTAAGAAGCCTGAGAACAGTAGCAAGGTAAGAAACATTGCAGGTGTGCACCAAAACAGGCCAGCTGAAGAAAAGTCTGCTCCTACTTAAGAAGCTCTGTGTTCAGACTGCTCTAGGTATGATCCTTAGAAGTAAAGCAAATTGTTTTCACCAGATGCACCTTCCAAAAAAGTCTAATTTTTATGAACAACTTAAAGCAGGTTGATCTGCCCTGTGCCAACCAGCCCTGTCTCAGCAGACAGCACACAAGGCTCCCTGCAAACATGCACAGGAGATTTGCTCACAGTAAGGTTCTCCAGCTTGAAAATCAGGATTGTACCAAACTAACACACGGCAGGCAACATTCATTTACTTACTTTAACATACACATATGCACCATTAGCTCCATAACAGTTTTTTCTTCCTCCTCTCTCTCCATGAAAACCCTGATAGAAGGGGAGCACTGAAGAAAGTGATTTTGTTTGCCGGTCAGCTGTAAAGCAAAACACACATATTTTGAACACAGTTTTGGTAAAACAGACACAGAAGAGCAACCTCTTGACTGTTCTTTCCTTTGCTGAATACTGCATGAATGCATATCTATTTACTGTCTCAATAATAACATAGCAGGGTAGACTAATGCTAATCCAAGTTGTGATGAAGTTTAACTGCCTTTGCTTATCTACTTAGGTTTATTAATGATGCACTTAATATAGTGGTCATTTCAAAAGCAACCATTACAAAATACTCTGGAAAATTAATTTGCTAGATTAGCAAATTTTGCACCAGGATAGAGGCAGAAGCAGCTTTATTCATTTTAAGAGGAAAATTTAATCAGATCCCAGCCTTATCATAACACAGACGGGCAACAGCCACTAATATACGTGCAAAATACCTTGACTTTTCAAAAGCTTTCTAAGGCTGTCAGTGTCATCTGTGCCCCCATTACCACAGCTCAGGACAAAGCTTAAAAAGCAAAGATAACTCACACAGAAGTAACCATTTTAACATTTTTGACATTTACCATTTCTTACCATCCATGCAGGGCTGGTTTTGCTGGGGTGGGATGTTAAGCAGTAAAACAACAACACGAGACAAAACAGATTTAGTGAGTTTTACCTTTCAAAATGACGTGACCCCCATCACCTCCGTTTCCACCATCAGGACCTCCAAATATTTTCCTGGGTTCGCTGTAGAAGGAAAAACCCCCTGCTCCTCCTTGTCCTCCGACCACGCGCACTTTCCGGTGATCCACGAAATATCGTGTCTGTAACAAGGGTGGGGGTTGTACACTTTAAGTACAATTTATCAGAGTCATCTTCCAAGAAGTTTTAATAATAGGCAGGCCTGCTATTTTCAGTCATGACGAGTTCCATTCAATGATAAAAATATATCAGAACTCTGCTGCCAGTCGCAGATCAATGAAATGCACTGTACTAAATGTAATAACAAAGAAAAACAGATCTCATTTTCCAAGTATTTTTAAGAACCCCCTTAAAAGCAGATGCTTGAGGCTATGTTGATATAACTTAACGCAGCAGCTCAGGCACCAGAAATATAAAATTAATGTTAAGGGAACTTATATCAGGAGAAGTATCCTTTTAATACAGTTATACAATGCTGACAGGTAGCTCAAGACAGCTACCACACTATAAATCAAAATCACTTAAGTAATTGTGTCCCTACTCATGAAAAGAAAAAACAAATTCATAAGCTTTTTGCTTCTTAAAATTGAACTGAAATTTGCAAAAGGGCACAGTGCTCATGTGGGAGGGATATTCTCACACCAATTCACTGCTTTCCATACCAGGTGATGAAATTAAGGCAAACTACAATCTTCTGACAGTATAAAGTACTTGTAAACAGAATAAGCAGAGAAAATCTTTGTATATGCCACACCAACTCTTCAGGAGCTAATATATATATATATAGAGAGAGAGACAGATAGACAGATAGATAGATATACAGTGTAAAGAGAATTCCAAATCTTGGCTCTATTTCTGATATTAATTTAATATTTGACTTCTGGCAAACTAATTATGCTGCACCGTGTTTCAGCTTTTCTATCAGAAAAACAGGTTGAACGATATTTACCTATTTCCGAAAGTGGGCTGAAATTCCAGAGGGAAAATATTAGAGAAGTACATTTATACAGGCAGGTGGAATTGTTTACACAGAGAGAGGAAAAGAGAAACTCATGGTAACATTCAAATTCTGTCAGTTACTAAAGGGACTTCATGAGAATGGGCAATAAGGGTCACTTTAAATAAACAGACCAAATAGTAGCTGAGGGAGAAAAAGTCTTATTAGTGTTTTGATACCAAAGAGAAGCAACTGAGAGAAAAGAAACCCTCAAAACCGAACTGTTGATAATTAAAGTTATACTAAGACCAGTGATGCCTTAAAAAGCCTCTTTTAGAAAAGTATTTGGCACCACCACATGGCAAGACGGGAAACTATGGCTTTGACTGGGAAGTGATTTTTGGATCATTAAAAAATAAGAATTTCCACAGACGTGTAACTATAAAATTAAGATGAAGAGTAAATTCTAGGACCCTGCAGTCTGACATAAAATGCTACCTTTTTTGGCAGCTGGCTACTATGCACGACTTAAAAAACAGTGAGAAACAAAACAATATTTTAGCTCTAAAGCTAATTTTTTAAATGTTTTATCATTTGTTATTGAATGCTTTACAGCTTTACCTAAAAAAGAATTTTTGCTTTCTCGACCCTCCCCAAAGAGGCATAAAGGAAGGGTGACCGCTGCTGTGACCCCTCTGAACACCGTGATGTCGCGGGGCAGCCCCATTTCCTCACTATTCCGAGAGTTTATTATATTTTAGCCGGTGTTTCCTCACAGCAGCAGCTCGGTGCGAGGAGGCGGGAGCTGCAGCTGAGGCGGGCGGGGGGTGCCCGCCCCGCAGCCCCCTCGGCACTCACCAGCTGCCGCTCCGTAATGGCCCTTTTCTGCCTCAGCCGCCTGTCCTTGGCGCACCTCGCGCAGGTCGTGGAGAAACTCGGCGGGCTGAGGAGGAGCAGGACGGGCTTCCACAGGGCGCGGCCCATCCCGGCCCCGAGCGCCGGCACCGCCATGGCCGCGGCAAGGCGGGCCCGCCCCGCGCCCGCAGCGCAGCCGCTGTGGGGCCGTGAGGGCCGGGTCGGCCCGCGCATCGCTGAATCGCGGCATGCTTTGGGTGGAAACGGGCCTTAAGGATTATCCCGTTCCAAGCCGCTGCCTCTGGCAGGGACGCCTTCCACTAGACGGGGTTGGTCCGAGCTCCGTCCAGCCCGGATGGGGCATCCACAACTTCCCTGGGCGACCTGTGCCAGTGCCTCGTCACCATCACAGCAAAGAGCTTCCTCTTAGTATTTAATCTAAACCTGTCCTCTGCAGTGTGAAGCCGTTCCCCCTTGTGCTGTCACTCCACACCCTTGTAAATAGTCTCTATCTGTCTTGTCGGCTCCCTGTAGGTACCGGAAAGCCACAATTGGGTCACCTCTTTTCCAGGTTGAACAATCCTAATTCTCTCAACCTTTCCTCATACCAGAGGTGCTCCACCTTGGTGGCCTCCTCCGGACTCCTTCCAGCAGGTCCATGTCCTTCCTGTGCTGGGGTCCCCAGAGCTGGAGGCAGCAGAGGGGCAGAAATCCCCCCATCCCTGCTGCCCACGCTGTGGGATCAGCCCAGCACACGGGGGGTTCTGGGCTGGATCATGTCCAGCCTCTCACCCACCGGCACCCCCAAGTTCTCCTCAGGGCTGCTCTTCATCAGTTCATTCCACAGCCTGGACTGATACTGGGAATTGTCCCAGAGGGGTTCAGGGATCCCTCCTCTGGCCACCTCGGCCTCACCAGTGCTAACAGTCGCTGTTCCCACAGTGATCCCCAAGTAATGCAGGTGCAGGTGTGGGTGGTGGCTCATGGTGTCTCTGCCCCATGAGGAGGCCCCGAATCCCCCCACACCATCACTCAGTGTGACCCGCTGACAAGCTTTTGTCATATGTAATTGCCCAGAGAAGCTGTGGATGCCCCATCCCTGGAAGAGTTCAAGGCCAGGTTGGGTGGGGCTTTCAGAGAGTCACAGAATCATTAGGGTTGGAAGGGACCTCTGGAGATCACCCAGTCCAAACCCCCGGCAAAGGCAGGGTCACCTGGAACAGGTGACACAGGAACACATCCAGGTGGGTTTGGAATGTCTCCAGAGAGGGAGACTCCATGCCCTCCCCGGGCAGCTGTTCCAGGGCTCTGCTACCCTCAATGGAAAGTTCTTCCTCATGTTGAGGTAAAATTTCCTGTGTTTTAGTTTATGGCCATTGCTCCTTGTCCTGTCACTGCCAGAAAAGTCTGGCACCATCCTCTGGACACTTCGAGCAACCTGGTCTAGTGGAAAGTGTCCCTGCCCATGGTGGAACGAGATGGGCTTTAAGGTCCCTGCCAACCCAAACCATTCTATGATTCTATAACCATCCATATCATAACCATAACACTTATATAAGCACTATCAGAGAAGTAGGGCAGAAGGCACAGCCCAAAATAATCTCCCTTTACCTGTTGTTTCCATTCTATGTGTCATAAGAAAAGTACCACCAACTTCATTTTCAGATAATATTTAACTTAAACAGTTTTCAAGCATTTCGTATTACAAAACAGAAAATGATACAATTCATGGAAGAAGTCAAAATGCTGGCATCACTTTGTTTCCACATTAATACATAAAAATGGACAACACATTAAATAAACATTTTGTTATTAACAATTAGAAATATTAACACTAAAAATCATGTATAAATTAGGAAATAAATGTACAAACTATTTCCAAAGTGCTCTTTCAAATACATTATATACACAACATTCACGAAGTTCTTAATGTAAGACATTTCAGATTGATGTAATGTTGCTGTTTCAGTTTAAGTGTTGTTTATATTCTCTCAAAAGCATTTCAGCACTTTCAAAAACCACATAAAAGGCATATTTCCAAGCTGGCAAAGAGCAATATTGCATTCTTCTGGCTACCTATAATATTAAATATTATAAGGAAAACAATCTCACTTCCTTTCTGTTCATTGCTATTTGAGAGTACTTATTTGTATGAAAACACCAGCAGGAAAGATGAGAGAAATGAGGACTGACTAAAAAAATGTCTTCTATTTTACCAGTAATTGAAATTATTAACATAGGAAGGGCAGTGCTTGGACAACATTTAACAGTAAACTCTTCGGTTGTCCAGTTAAAGACTTTCCTATAAAGGAAAAAAAGTAATGAATTGAGAGATGTTCTGTTTTTCTTGTGGTCTTGGTTTTTAAAAATATAAAGTACTTGAACTTGAAATCCCATAAATATACCAGTTCAGACAAAGAACAAGGAGAAAATCCTACAGAGATTACTCTAGATTGCAAATTTGCAGTTAATCTCATATTAAAAAATGCTCGTGGGGTACAGTCACCCCAGCTTTTTGCCTCAGACAAATTTGGACACAGTATTTTGTTCAACACTTACATAAGCACTTTAAAAGTGCTTCTTTTTTTTTTTTATCAACACTTTATAAGAACATATAAAACTGAATAGAAGCGACTTACATTGTTCATACTGATTTTTACATACCACTAGTTTTTATCTCTAAATTCTCCCTCTATAAGTATTCCCTCACTGGTTGACCCCATTAATAGCTCCCCTCTCCATATGCATAATAGTGTTTCACAATTAAAGCTGAATTTAGTTGCTCATCTGCAATAAAGATGGATTTTTTTTTCTTTTACTTCTGAATGATTTCTGTCAAGCTACAAGAGGAAAATAAAGGTGATGATGAACTGTAAGAACAACAGACCAACAAATCCGACAACATTTACGGTTACAATGCTTGCTGGGAGATCTGAGCAAGGGCAGCAGAACCAGAACTAAAGAAGGATGCCAGCCACCTGCTTGTGAAATTTGGCGTGAAAATGTATATCCAAGTTATAAAATTTGGAGTAGCATATTCAAGACGGGACTTTTGCCAGATGTTTTTCTCAGCTAAGCACGATATGAAGCAATATTGACGTCGAGCAGGCGGACACTGAAGATCCCAGAGCTCCCTTCTATTTTTCTTTCCACGACAGAAATACCTCCGTTTACACGGACAGATAAAAGGTGCCTCTAATGATCAACATTTCCACAACCATAGTTTTAGGTCCTCTTTCTGTACCTTTTACAACAGAAATGTGGACTTATGCAGATTACTGAATTATAAGGTTTCGGTAGGTAGGTATTACAGAAGTTGCAGTTAATTTTATTTTTATCAGATGGCATAGAACTGTTTTTATAAAAGGAATGTATCCATCCACTTGTTCTTAAGAAGTTAAGAGCCATGGATTTTGGAGGCTGGCAGGTAATCTTCAATGCATTCAGTTAGAAAAAGATCAATAACCTACCACAGTGAACTTCCCTGGACTGAGATGTGAGTGATGAGCTTTGTACTGAGCCAGACTGCAGAACAACCTGGCTGTTTTCCAGAACGGGGCACAACTGTGATCAAATGATCCTAAAGCTATTTAGAAACATCAAGAATGGGGCAAGGGGGGGGGTAAATGAAAAACTTCTGCGTCGTATCAACATACAGTACTATACACAGCACCAAATATCAAACCATTAAAGCATTGTCTTGTTACCAGTAGTGCACTGCTTCATATCCAGCATGAAATGAACACTGTTCACATACAGACGCTGCTTTGTGCTAAGGGGTAACCAACATATTACAATTAATCAAAACTGCCTGTACATCCAGTTCGAAAGATGGAGAAGATACCATTGAAATAAATCTGACACAGCATCGTATTCCTTTATTGCTGGTAATTTCCATATTGTCCCTGTAAAAAAAGAGAAATAGAAATGTTGAAGGATTATATATTGGAGGCTTACAGTGAGTTAGGCAATTTCTTTTGGTCTGTGAATTTTACAAGACCCACTGAAGTATCACCAATACGCCAGCACCAAATTATCAGATAGATTTATATGCAGAGCTAATAGCTAAATCTGCTTTTTCAGAGCACAGATTTAGACAATTTACCTGCTCATAGCCATAAGGCCTCTGTTGCTGAGCGGATGGGCCTGTCTGGGAAGCTCTGTAACTTCCATATTGCTGCCCCTGTCCCTGTTGGTAGCTGGAATACTGTGAAGAGGCTCCTTGTGCAGGACCTGAGAAGACAGTAAACTCCATTACTAAGGCCTGATTTGCTGGGGGGATTCTTACAGTTAATTACCCCTCAGTGTTAAACATGATGCCAACAAAGTAAGTTCTGTGAGTACGAACTGTGAGTAAATTCCGCCTAGACCTCCCCTCTAGCTTTACACCAGGAGGTGTTAATACTAATAATAACGTAGTTGCAGGACTGTAAAACAGGTTTTACACTTTGCTCAGAAAAAGTGATATACTTCTAAGTGATTTACCTCTCTGAAACCTGTGTTGGCACAGCTCAGTTATTAATTCTATGCAGCTACCTGGCCTTTATTTTGGTAACAATTGCATGTTTAAGTTCCTATCTAATCTGGCTGTGCCTCGAGCGAGGGAGGAGGTATTCTCTGGACTGCTGATGTTCTTCATGTCAGTTCTGAAGGACTAGGTGTGTAGGAGGCCTGGGAACCCAGGCAGTGACATCCTGATAATGTTTAACACAAAGTTCCCCATGAAGTAAATGTCTATTTTCTAACTTTCTTTCAAAAGAGAGAGGGATTCAGGATGCTAATATAACAGTATGGAATGCAGTGCTACACTAATGTATGTTACTGCCTTGAATCCCTTTACTAGCTTTCTGGCTAATTTTGGTACACGGATGACCAAGGTTAATCAAGGAAATAGTTTACAGCCTATTTTAGCTTAGGAATGAGGCATCAGGATGAAGCAGTGCAAACCCTTGACCAGCCAAGGACAGTTTTCTTACCATATCCTTGCTGTTGTCCTGGGTAACTCTGTTGATTTGGGTATTGCTGCTGGGAATATGTTTGCTGTTGTGCAGCTCCCTGTTGGTATCCTGCCTGCTGCTGGCTGTACTGAGAATTTCCTAAGGAGGGGACAATTGAAATAATTTGGTTAGAGATGAGGCAGGTATTTCACTGTACACACGAATCATAAGGAAAACAAAGGCAGAAGGAGCCTTGGCCTGGAATTCGTACTCTGGAACTTTCTTTTCAGAAATAGATGATTGCATTTTGCCAAGCAGGATGTTTATTTCTTTGGTAATTTTTATTTCTTTTGAATAGGAGAGTTATTTTTTTATACACATCACTAAACAAACAAATAAGGAGCCTGTTCCCCAAAGGATTTTTTTTCAACCCAGAAGTGTTTCAGAAGAAAAACAAAGTCACAAAGATAAGGGTGCCTGGGTAAATAGCCAGTTTCTCAAGAAGCCCTCCCACTGTATTTTCTTCTAGATAATGATGTTTATTCATATATCCCAGAAAGACCACTTATCTAGTTGTCACTGGCATCTCCTTGAAATGCCTATGATGGAAATTCCATTTGCTGTATCCTGAAACAATAAAATGAATAGAGGCTCTATAGACAACATTGCTTCTCCTAAATGCCACCTTGCCTGTACCATAATTAATATCTCCAGCTAATTTAGAGTTCAGATATCTTAATAGCATACTGAATTGACTGAGGTACTACTGTTAAGATTTTGATATATTTTCCTACCTCCTTCATAATAGTGTTGTGTGGAGTCATCAAACGACCGGTCGTAGCTCTGCTCAGTGTAGGATGACTGCTGATAGGCATAATCACTGTGTCCTGCAAGGAGTCACAAAGATTTATCACATACATTGTTGATATAACTATACACATGTTGTTGAATGATACACTGTGAAGCTGCTTACGCACCAAGGTGAAGCTGAGAGGAAATACAGACCCCTTATGTGGGAGGTCAAATGCACGGCAAGGAAAGTCACACTTATGGATAAATCTACTGCATTTATTAATCCAAACTGGGCTTTGGGCTCTATTTGCAGCAGTTTGGATAGCAGGGTGCACTGATGAGTATGTTTTATACCAGGCTGCCATGCCCTGGGACTAGAACTTTCTAGCATTTAAACTGGAAATGAATCATGATAGGTTTGCCATGTCCTTGGATGTGGCAGTCACGGTGCTCTGCACTTTATCAGTGTCACAGTGACTCCAGCTCAGAGGAATTACCATCTGGGTAGTACTGCTGATTCATAGGTTCTGATGAGCCTTGGCCATGGCTGTACTGTTCACTGTAATATTCTTCCTGACCCATGTACTGCTGCGAGGAACCTGCAAGGCACAGACAAGACAGAACAACCTGAGCCTGTGGACTCCTAAGGGATGGGTTTCTCTTATCTATGTTTTTTGAAGAAAACAGAGTTTATGTCCAGATAAGTAAACAAGCTACGTATATTGAGAAGAGCTATAACAATGTTTTGCTCACTGGAAAAAGGAAATAAATTTGTATTCTCAGAAAAAGCTGGTTGAAATTGAAATTACACAGCAGTCAGCAACACATCCTAGAACCACTCACTTCTGAGGCAACACTGAAAGCAATCGCTACATTTCATCTACTAATCTGAGTTATGAGAAAGCACAGGAATGGATTTCCATGCTCAAGAAAACAGTCAGAATTAAATATATTTTAATTAATACATTGATTTGTTTATTAGCAAAATTCAGCTTACGTTAGAATCAGTCTAGCAGCTTTATTACCTCTTAGAACTTTTTCCAGAGAGGTCTTAGAGCATGATAGTTATCCTCTGGTGTTTTCCTTTCCTTGGCCTAATTTTTCATTCTAATTGCTGGCAAACTATATCTTCTTTGCAGAAATGTGTTCCTTGTTAACTGTGCCATGTTACGGCTGATCCAACACCATGTGAAAGAATTGCAAAGATTCCCAGTGCCTTCAATGAGCTGTATATCAAATTGTTCATCTTTTCTTTAGAGATACATGATCCCTTTTAGACAGAATTATTTTTCTAAACACCTGAAATAATTAAATAGATAAATCTTGAAAATAGATTCAGGTTCATCTCATTGTCATGACACTTCCACCATTCGGGATCTCCTGTGCTCCTGGATGGGATTCCCTGTTCATAAGCCTGACTAGGAAATTTTGTTGACTCACGTGCCCCACAGGATGGACTGGATATCATCAATCTAACAACAGTTACATCAATGATCTAACAGCAGATTTTACCTTGCTGTGATGCTCTGTAAGGGCCCATGGGTCGCTGCCCCATCATGCTGTTGCCTTGGTTGCTCTGGCTCATCATGGCAATGGAGGACTGTCCCTGGTAGTGCTGGCTCCCTCCTTGTGCCGAGTTGTAATGTGATGTTGCTGCTTGCTGGTGCATCATGGAGACTGCAATGTACATGGAAAATACTGTTTTCTAAAAGGATGTGGCAGTTCTCTCCCGAGTCTCTTTGGAAGCAAGTTAAAACCTCCAACTAACGTGCATCCTGATAATTCTGTGAATTTTCCACAGGGGGAGATGTTTTCCTACTCCATTTATTTAACTCTGCTTATTACATGGTCAGTTCTTGCCATTTGCTTCAGTCAGATATCTAACACTACATACAGCCTTGATTATTATTAGTTAGTTTATTTAAAAGAATGTAAACCTTATTACAGTAGGGTTAAAGAAACAAGAACTGATGCTTGTTGCTCTCTACCTCCTGACCATTTCGTTGCTGTATAGCTTTTCTAATAAACTCTTTCTTCTGCTCCCATCTTCTTGTCTACTTGATGATTATACAGTCTGAATAAATTGATATTCTAGGATTTATTCGATCCCTAAATTTACTGTCAGAAACAATTCTAAAGCATGAGACATCTCATTCAATACTCAGGAGCAAGCTTTTTTTAAATTTTAGATTAATTTTAATTTAGATTAAGAGATTAATTGAATTGTCTGCTAGGTTCTCTATGCCCTGCAAGCAGTGTGAAGTATCAGTAAAATAACAAAATGGGGTGGTAATGTACAAACAGTAAATGTGTTATACTCATTGGCAGGCTCTGTCAGCTTGGATAAAGGGGCTTCTCAGATCCCTCAGATCCCTGGATTTGCTCCCAGGGGTATCAGATAGTGCTGCTGCACCTCTGTCAAACCCTCTTTTCCCCAGCTCATCACTAACCATGGTAAGCTGGCGTAGGTTAAAGCAAGTCTGAAACTGTTCTGACTTACACTGGCGCCTGACACCTTTAAATTCAGAGATGTCTTAAAGCTGGCTTTTCCTCTGGTATGTTTGTCACTGTCTACAGAAAATATTTACAGAACAAATTCATGTGGTGGTGGTAAACCTCTGAGGTCACTGAGAAGTCAAGCTGGCCCAGAAGGAGGAAGAGGGAGGTTACCTGGGTTAGACTGCATGTTGATGTTTGTTCGAGAGACATAATTGCCTATTGACCCCTGGCCTTGCATTGGCACGTTCTGAGATGCAGGCACTGTGTGGCTGTAACCAGGGCCAGTCCCATGACTGCTGACAGTCATACTCAGAGAGGTCGTGGGCATAGTGTTCTGGCCTGACTGCTGCATAGACACGTGGTTGGGACCTGGAAAAATCAGAGAGAGCAACAAGAAAATCTGTGCTATTATTGGCAGTGTACAGTGAGCGTTAAAGCCCTCGCAGCCTTTCTGAAATACCTTATGACAAGACAAAAAAACCTCCCAATCTTCATTATTAAAATGCCCTGTTATCTACAGAGGCATTAGAACTGCCTACTGCACAGTTGGAGTGATCCTCCTCTTCCTGGCAGCCAAATCCAGGCTGTACAGGATTGCGGACGGGAAGAACAAAACCAGCAGCAATGCCCTACAACCAGTTCCTCGGAGGCAGCAGAATTAACAAATGCCAGTAATTTCAGGTACTTCAGAAAACTCTGGAAACATCCATGTGTTACATGTGTGTAGGGAATTATCCAGCTACTCTCCTACTGAGGTGATTCCTGTCAAGTCCTGACTGAGACCAATAAAGAATAAAATGTAGTATATTCCACGGCTTCTTTCCTTTTCTTCCCTCCCTTACAACTCTGCACCTGTTCATTACACACTTCCATCTCCATTCCCATTAGATGAGAAGCTTTCACAAGTCCCAGAGCCCACATATTTGAGTTGTTTCTACATATTTACTCCTAATTTCCAAAAAAACCCACTATCAAGCAAGGGTGTGAGTGTCCTACTCTCACAGCAGGCACATACCATCACTGCTGCTGTTACTCAGGCTACTCAAAGAGGCACTTTACTGCCTTCTCAGTCACACCTTCGATTTGAAGTGTAGCTACATCCTCAGTCAGCTTTCCAGTGCACTGATACTGCTCATGATAAAATACCTTGCACTGCCCAGGTGACTGGGCAGAGAGGGAACTACCCTGAAACCCCACAACTCAGGCTGGGCTTAGTACCAGGCTGGAGCAACCTGAGGGAACTGCCCTGTCTGGTCTGTCCTGTGGATAATTCCAGTCTTCAGGACTGCCAGTCTGGTTCTTTCAATCAGCACTAAATTATTACAAAGACTTGGAGTGTGGGGGGCAAATCAGAGAACCCAGAAACAGCAACACTGAGAACATTAATTCTTAGTAACAAAAAACAATGTTCCGACTGACTTACTATATTACTTATACTAGGTATTAAATCTTTCAAAAAGAAGGCCCTAGAAAATTTAGTAAGTTCACTTTATAAGTTGTACCTGTTTAAAGAAGGTACCTCATCCATTAGTTTAAAAGGTACAATCATCTTGATCACAAATGGATTTTTAAAAACTCAGAAGTAATTTCATAGCTTGCATCTGCTCTTGAGTCCCCCTGCCAAGGTCTGTGATTTTACAATCAGGTATTTCTATTTATAGAAACTGGTTTTGCTCTGTTAGTCTGGGAAAGACCCACAGCAATAAGAACTGACTAGGTAGCTATGAACTATGAAATAAACAGATAATTCATAATATAAAATGCACAGATTAAAAAAAATCTTTTTCAATTATTGTAGTTGTGTGAACAAAAACAGACAAAATATATTATCTTATTAATACAAAATGTGAAAACTCTTGGGCTATGTAGTACAATCTCTGCAGACTTCTGTAGAGGACAAAGGCTAGTGCAACACCAAATGATTTGTAAGAAGGCATATATCCTGGAAGGTCTGCAATTTAAAGGTTTGGTTATGTGGTTAGTCATGCAATTAATTCCATTTTACCCTCGCCAACCCCACCACTTTCATGAGAAAAATGCCACGATATATAATTTTTCTTACTAAGAACCTGGATGCCTCTTGGTGATTTTCATTATGCGTTTTTTAAAAAATGTTTTTAATTTCCTCTGCAGAAATACAAAGCACACTGGAGTCCTTGCAGAAGCCAACACCATTACTGCCTGTAGCCATTTTGTGGTGATTTCAGCATGTGCCTGAAATCCCCATATGCCTGAAAGGTGAGTTAGGAGAGGTCTTTTCCAGCTCTCTAAGTATATTCTGCATTAATGATTTTGTTGCCAAGCAACAGCAAAGCAGCACAAAGGGGACCAAAGCTCACCATTGCTAATCTGACTCTGCATGAGGGAGGAAGGAGGAAGGCCCGTCCCAATGGCATCACTGAGATTGCTCTGGGAATGGAGAGATTGGTTGGATGCGCTCTGACTCATCCCTCCGGGGCCCAAGTTTATATTTTGCGTCGGTGGCTGCAAACAACAAGGAGGAGAAGCAAATTCTTGGTTAGGTTTTTAATTAGAAAAAGAATAGCCCCCAAATTAGTCTGACTGTGACTAAGAACTGCCTCAGCTAAATATGTGTTTCCTTCACGTTTTGTGTAAACCTTTCTTCATGTGACTCCTCCGTGTGAGCGACACTGAGCACGACACAGAGCAGCCGACAGGCAGCACAGGGAACGTCTTAAAATTCTGCTTGTCACAGATTCTGGCTTCTGTGCCCGTCCTTCCCTACTTACACGGATTTCAGAACACAACCACTGCAGGGAATGCATTAGCAAAGACAACACAGAAGTGTGTTGACAGATTGACCTTTGCCAAGCTATGCTGTAGTTTGTGTTACGTGTGATACCTCCCAAATCAATTCACTGAGCAAGAATAACACAATGTTTAAAGACAAAGCCAATACCCAAGTGCTGAATTAGATTTGTGACATAAAATACTGGCACTTTTTCCCCCAAATAAGAACAGATAAAGAATAATGAATCTGGAACAAACGGAGCTGTTCAGATCTGTACCACTGCACCATTTACAGTATAGAGAGTGTTGTACTCTATATATTATATTGTATAGAATACTCTTACCCTTGGAGACAGAGATTAACACAAATGTCCCAAAGAACGTATTTTAAACACAGTAAAAGTAACTTTTGATTTGCTTGGTGGCCTGCTCGGCCACTTCGAAGCTTTTAGCTGGAAAAATACCAAAATATGGTTCATTGACAGTGATCAGTGACAGAATCAAAGAACATTTCCCTCTGGCATAGTTAATTGAAGGTAGACTGGTACTTACAGCAGGAAGCAAGGACTGCATATTCTGGTTAGAGTCTGCTATTGTTGCCAAGTAAACCAGGTTTCTGTGCAAGATTTGTTGGTATCTACAGAACAAGGAGTAAAGCTTATTTGGAAAGGGTTAACAATACAGAAAATTCCAAACCTCTCTTTTTTTTTTTTTTCCTATTTACAAATGGTTAGTTAAATTACATTAGCCCATTTTTGATCTGTCCTAAATAAATAGCAGCAGTAATGACCTCTATCTGTGCTGTCATGTTTTCCATCAAGGATCAAGTGTGTTCAACACCTCTTTTACAAAAGGATAAACCTGGGGGAAGGGAGAGGTAAAATACATTCTCCTTTGAAAGCACTTTGAACTGTGGAGCTGGAGCTCAGCCTCTGAGGACTGACACCCAGTCAGCTGCTCCAACAATCAGCCACTTTCCCTCCTCTATCTAACAAGGATCCTCATAGTAATGAAATTCCAGAACTCTAAAAACCAAAACCTGTTTTCCCTGCCAGCAAGCTGAGAAGAACAAGATTTTTTTCAAGAGTGCTCTAACTGGAGTGTTTGCTCAAGTAAGCAGCAGCACCAGGGCCATTTGTGCTCCTTCACAGTTCTCCATGAACTGGAAAAGCTCGTAATAAAGAACAGGAAGGTTTCCAAAGCAAACTGACAGCTGTGCCACTGAGCAAAGGGAAGAGGCAGACTTCTGGAAACAGGGACCGTGCCAAGAAGGCAAAAGAAAAGGGGGTTTTAGCATTTTCTTTTGACAAGGGAAAAATATCTGGGAAAGTGGCGAAGTAGAGCAAGTGGTCCAGTAACCATATTTGTTTATAATTCTTTTAATAAATGGCCTGTTGAAATATTGTAAATACTAAATACTCAAATACTTCAGAAATAAAACTTCCAAGAACAATATACATTTCTTAATACAAGTGAATCTAAAAGAATATCCCAACTATTCTCTCAGTAATCAGTCACCAGAACTGTTCACAGTACTCTTCTTGAAAGGAAGTCCCAAAAATTTCCAACAAACTCCCAAACCCATAATACTCACTGAGTACATTCTGCAGTTTTCCCCTTGCTCTGATAATCCATAATACACTGTATTAGGTGGTGATTTTCATCTAGCATCTGCATAAAAGAAATATGATCAAAACATGTTACTACAAGAATCGTATGGAAGTCCTGTGTTTTTGTTATCCTCCACCTTCCCTGGCACTGGATGGTGTTTTGTGCAGTTTTGTTCCTTGGGATATTACTAAGTACTTACACGTGACTTTATTGAGCCACAGGATTCTGCTTTCAAATCATTCACTTATGAACAGTTACCTTTAAAGCAGTTAACTGAAATACCCAGCACAGAAGAATGAATGGACTTACCTTTTTTTCCCTTCAATGGCAGATAAATTTTGATGCTGAAGAAGGAAAACGCTTTCACGATGAAACACCTCTGCCTCATTCTAAAATATCACCCAAACCTTTCCAAAATGTCAGATTTTACTGACATGGCTACTTTTAAATAAGAAACAAACTTTCAAATAATTAAACCTACTAGTTTTCCCGCCCGGGACTAGTGTGTGCCAGCTGCTGAACTCGGTGAAGTATAAAATCTACATTACTGGAGCTACTGAAACCATGTTTAAGAGAATTACATCCCAACATGTCCTTTGGGGTAGTTCAGTCCCAATATAGGGAGGACTTAAAAGGAAAACACAGAGTAATTATAGATCATATATATATATATATATATATATATATATATCTCAATCACAATATATACATTGTGGTCCTGCCCATGGCAGGGGTTGGAACAAGACAATCTTTAAGGTCCCTTCTAACCCAAACCTTTCTGTGATCAGTTAATTTATGATCACTGACCTTTATTTAATGAACTCATAACACAATTAAAAGCTTAAAATATCCTTTGATTTGGTTTAAAATTTCAAATACAATAGTTTCTCTCTCTCCCCCAGATTTCTTGTGATTGTGACAAGCTTTCTGCAGGTGAAGGAATAAAATAATAACACCAGCATTTAAAAATTTAGATTTGCCTCTACATGACACTGTTTGCAGGTACCACTGCTACCAAATGCTTGCAAGACTGGGCCTTTGAACCACTGTGTCATCAGGACAGAACTCTTGAGGAAAGAACCATTACACAGAAGACACTGAAGTTCACTGCCCTGTAAATGTTAATTGATGAACTATTTTAGAGCACCATCATCACTGCTCTATTGCCAAAAGCTCTGACTTCCTCTATTTTAGGAGTAGTTGATACTGGAATAAGAACAGCTTTGAAAGACTATCAAAATTGAGTTAATAAATAAAAACAAGCTGCTTATATAATAAGAATGCAAATAAGAATATTCTTCTTCTTCTTCATTGAGACTAAAAAGCTCACTTTAATGAAGATCTTTGGAGTTCCTGCTCAAAAAATGCAGGAGCATCTGCCCCTCTCTCTGCCCCATTTCTATCCTTGACTGTAAATCCCATCCAGTTCCTGTGCCTGGAAGTCTCTTCCTCAGCATTGCCACTTGTCAAAGAGAAAATCACTGCCAACAGCCCAGCACTGATAAACAGCTCTGAAGTAACCTGCCATCAAATGTACCTGGGATGGGAAAGGGTTTTACTCATTATATGTAAAGAAAGAACTTCTGTAAAGTTTCTGAATATGCAAAAGGGAAAGGGCTTGAAAATCAAACTGAAGATACTTTATCTGCCCTTTGTCTGAGAGGTCACGGGTTTAAGTACAAACTATCTGAATTATGAAATAACTCCAACTGATCTGGAGGTTAGACAAAAACTTCTTCACTGAGCCTGAAATATTTCAGTATTTAAAATTAATCGGTTCAAAATACCACGTGAGCTCCACAAAATGGGATGTTTCCAAACAGTTTCCTGAGATGCAAGTCATCCCTTCAGCCTCTCTCGTGGCAGTCTGTTCTGCCTGAATCTCTGCTCTGTCACAGGCTTCCTGTGAGGGTTTTCTTTCCCCTTGGAGCCGTGAATTGGCACCAGCTCATGGCTTGGCTGCACAGCCCCTGGTGATGGGTTAATCGCTGTGTTTGCAGTGGCACTTCTCCACTGGTCAGCCCTCAGGAAGGGACCACACAGAACTCACACGTGGCTGCCACCACAACACACCTGGGCGGTGGGAACGGCCAAAATCAGGACAGAAACACAAATGACAAATAGCAGCCGCAGTAAAAACATGCAGGTTTCTTTATTGACATTTCCAGCCTCGTCGTTCCTGACCGTCACCTTCTGCAGGAGGAGGGGGGTCAGCATGTGTGCAATAGGAAACAATAACTTCCCAACTCGGCACCCTCTGCTTCGGCCTCCACACGAGACCCATGCGGGGATCTCCCCTCCAGAGAAAACCTTCCAAAACCTTTGTTTCTCATTAAACATCAATAAGCACATCACAAATAATAATAATAATAATAATAATAATAGTATATGAAAAATACCAGTGGCTGGTGCTCCCTCTATCTTCTGAGAGATTAAAATTCTGCATCCAGATACAAAAGAAAGCCCCTCCAAATTCAGGATTTTATTTCTTTTTTATTTTTTTAGGTTGGATTCTTTTTGGGGCCAGAAGCTGACACACCATCATAAATTAACCGCATATTTGCAGATTTTATTGCCGTTTCCCAATGTCTGCTTGGCAGCGTTTCCCCTTGGCGAGCAGCGGGGATAACGTGCCATCCCGATTTTATTCCCTGCGTCCTTCCCTCGCTCTCTTTTGCAGCGATCTGAACACCTTTGCTTTGTTCCACCTCCTCCTCCTCCTCCTCCTTCCCCCACCTCTCTCTCCAGCTGTCCATCTCTGCAGCCCTCGCAAATTCACGAGTTTTTCCTGATCGCCCTAGAAATCAGCCTCCAGCTGCAGGAGCGTGGACGGAATAAACGTCTAAAATTGTCTGTATAAAAGCATGCTCTTTTACCTTCTGGATAGTTTGCTGGGTGACCTCCCCTTTGCCTCTTGGGCGAGCAGAAGCAAAGGCAACCGACATGGTGGGGGTGTTTTATGTGCCTATAATATATCGGTCCCAGGCTCTAATAATATTGTTATTATCTGGCTGCTATTGCCGTGCGAGGATTCTCCGCAGTGCACGGCCAGGGGGGCGGCCGCACATGGTACGATCTGCGCCCCGCCACCACCCGCGGGCACCGCACCCCCCGCGGGCGGGCACGGCCCGCGCCTCGCCCCCCAAAAAACCCCCGGAGCCTCGTGGCGGGAGGGAGCGGCGGCGATGTGGGGAAGGGACGGGAGCGGCCCCGCCGCCGCCTCCCCGCCGGCCGCACATGGTGCGTCCCGGCCGCCGGGCTCCCTCAGCCTCGGCCGCGCCGCCCGCTGCGCCAACTGCGTACGCCAACTGCGTACGGCGGGCGCGCCAGCGCGGGCAGAGCCGCGGAGGGCGCCTACGCAAAGTGCGTATCCGCGCGCGGTGCGTACGCAAAGTGCGTACCGGCCCCGCTGAGGGGAGACCGGTCCGTGGGGCCGCGTTCGGCGCCGGGATCCGGCACGGCAGGGACAGGGAGCGGCTGGAGCGAGTCCAGAGGAGGCACCGAGGTGATCAGAGGGACTGGAGCAGCTCTGCTGTGAGGAAAGGATGAGAGAGTTGAGATTGTTCAGCCTGGAGAGGAGAAGGCTCTGGGGTGACCTAATTGGGGCCTGACGGTGCCTGAAAGGAGCCTGCAGGAAAGATGGGGCAACAGAATTTACAGGAACGTGGAGTGACAGGACAAGGGGAAATGGGTTAAAACTGAAAGACAAAAGGTTTAGATGAGGTGTTAGGAAAAAACCCTTCTCTATGAGGGTCGTGAGGCCCTGGCACAGGTTGCCAGAGAAGCTGTGGCTGCCCCATCCCTGGAAGTGTCCAAGGCCAGGCTGGACAAGGTTTGGAGAAACCTGCACTGGTGGAAGGTGTCCCTGCCGTGGCTGGAACGAGATGAGCTTGAAGGTCGCTTCCAACCCATGGCGTTCTATCATTCCGTGAATCCCTGAAAACCCCGCATAGCCCCGGTTACACCTACGGCTTCCTCAAATCACTTAACAGCGTCTCTTACTTTCCGGTGTACCCTCCGCGGGAAGAAAACGCATCTCACATTATTTTAGCGCCACAAGTCGCTCGGAATGGCGTGATCTCCAAGGCGCTTCCCAACCCGAGCCATTCCCGGGTCCCCCGTTCCGGCCCCTGCGCCGTTTGCGCACGGCAGGGACGCAGAGTGCGTACGCCAAGAGCGTAGCGGGGGCGCAGGGCGGGGGCGCGCGGCCCCGCCCCCGGCCCTCCCGCATGACGGTGCGGGTTCTGCCGGAGCCATGAGCTACGACCGCGCCATCACCGTCTTCTCCCCGGACGGCCACCTTTTCCAGGTGGAGTACGCGCAGGAGGCCGTGAAGAAGGGCTCCACCGCGGTGAGTCAGCGCGGGTTGCGGGGCGGCGGGTGAGCGGGGCCCGCGGCGGGGCCTGTGCCGCGCTGCGCTGCCGGCCTGGCGGGCCCCGGGCATGCGGGCCCGGGCGGCGCTGGAGCAGGACCGGCTCTCAGTGACATTCCCTGCGGTCCATCGGGCTGGATACCGCATATGGAGCTGCCTTACAGCCCATCGCTACCTCCTCCGCGGTGTGTGGGGCTCAGGAGCCCTGAGAGGCCTCTAGGGATCCTCTCCTGTGTTGATCTGTATGTGGTGAAAATAGTGGTGCTTTGTGCTTGTTCACGATGCAGATTCCCAGTGGATTGGGAAGCATGTCGGTAAAGGCAAGCAGAAGTACTTTTCTGCCTCGCAGTTTCCACTTGTCCCAAGCTTTTGCTCAGTGGAAGTTTTATTTCATCTGGGGGAGGAGAAAAAAAGTATTAATTTGCAAATGACATATTAATAATTTCAATATATTGTAATAATAATCGTGTTATTAACAACAAGTTGTAATTTAACAAGTAATAATTGTATTTTTAATTCTAATAAGTATTAATTTCCAACAGCAAAAAGCAAACGTACCACCTTTGGGATGGGAATGAATCTAACAAGACTTAGTGCCAAACAGGCTCTTCTTTCCTTTCCCACGAATTAAAAATACTTTAAAAGTGGAGCCGACATCCAGTATAACCCACTTCTGTCTTGTCTCTTGTTGAGCTTAATGTTTTTGGAAACATCTGTAACATGCTGACAGTAGGGCCATAAGAAAAAATGATTCCTGTAATCTTATGAGAAACAGTGGGAGTGAAAGGTCAGGCGGTTTTCTTCTTCCGTGGTGTTGCAAAACGTGTATTTAAAGTATAAATTAGAACATTAGGGCAGCTACTGACAGGCAGCTACAGGTGCTATTTCCTCTGATGTTCAGTGGTTTGGGCTCTGAGTTGAGCTGTGCCACTGGACTGGTGGGATTTTCCTTGTTGGTCCTGGTACTGTGGCTGTGGAAGCACTGATGGTGGAGTTGGGGAGGAGAGCTGGAACATACCTCTTGGGAGTCACAGGGATTTAAATTGGTATAAACTGGTGATGAAATTGCACCCTGAAATCCAGTGCAATATTTGTTACATCAGTTCTGCCTCCTGGTTGAGGCAATGAATGGGAAATTAAATCCTGCCTTGGTTACAGTGGGGAAATTGTATTGGGTATTTACTACTCATTTAGGTAAAGCCTACTGGGATTTCTGGACCTGCTTAACTCCTTTTACTTCTTCTTTTCATGCATTGAAGGTTGGAGTAAGAGGGAAGGATATTGTTGTCCTTGGTGTGGAGAAGAAGTCTGTGGCAAAACTCCAGGATGAAAGAACTGTACGGAAAATCTGTGCTCTGGATGACAATGTCTGCATGGCTTTTGCAGGTAAATGGTCCCTTCAGGGTTTTTGGCACTTATTGGGGCACCTTTGGGTGTGTTTGTGGATTCTAAGAATATAAAATACTGGGCATAACTGGCCAAGGACTGTAAGAAGCAGTTTATTTCCACGGCTCCTAATTATAAAAGTAGCCTGGTGTATGGATAGCGGCTGGCAATTATCTGATGACAGGAAATGCATAAACCAAAGTAAAAGCTCCTCTGTTTTAGTTCAGAAGACTTCTTCTGCATGAACAGCTCTGGATTTGAAGCATAAATATTCTAGTTCCACATTCCTCCTATTCCACATGCCTTGAATTCCATCGTTCAAAGCTGAAACAGGAGGTCTGAAAATTTAAAAAAAACCCATAGATTGAGAGAAAATGTGTTTCAGGAGGTTTCTCTTCAAGTAGTTTAGACTCTTTGTGTTAGTAATACTTAAAGGGAAGATCTGATTTAACTGACTAAAACAACGAGGTTTAGGTTTATTGTGCAGGAGTGAGAGGCTCAGCTCCTTCCCCTGCCCTGCTGCCTTAGCCAAGGGCTGGGATATGTGCAGGGGGGGGTGTCACAAACTTGAGTAAAAGTTCTCTAATAAAAACAAGGCTGTAAATTGAAAATGGCAGCATTAGCTAAAAAGTAAAATAAGAAATAAGTTTCTTTTTAATGTTTTTTCAATGTTAGCTCCTTTTTATCAGCTAACACTGTGCTGCTGTAACCTTGTCAACTAGACAAGATTCGCTGGGCAGATAAAACTGGCTGATGGGGGACTGCCTGAGGAATAAATGTGTGTGAGAATGGAGGTTGCTGATTTGCTGGGATATGGAATGCTGTCAGTAATATTCCCATTGGGTCAGAATTATGTGCATCTTCTAACTCAAACGTGGAAGCTGTAAACTGAGTCCTGTAGTTATTTTGGTACATCAGCCACTTTCTGTTGCCTTGCAAGTGCTCCTGCCTAGCAAACCTGAGAGTGTGAGCTCTCCTTTGCTGTTTTCACTGACCCCATGGGCCTTGTGGGGCCAGACTGGTTGTGTTATGGGGTTGTTTCATGACTCTGAGGACGTGCCGTCGTTCCAGGGCTGACAGCTGATGCCAGGATAGTCATAAACAGAGCCCGTGTGGAGTGTCAGAGCCACAGGCTCACCGTGGAGGACCCTGTCACCGTGGAGTACATCACACGCTACATTGCCAGCCTCAAACAGGTACTTTGGCCTGCACAGAAGTGCTTAAAAATGTGTCCTGGCCTGTTGTGTTACAGATGTTATGTGTAATTGTGAAGTTAGCTGATGTTATGCATAATACACCACTTGTACGTGTAATGTGTAGTTTATAATGTGTGTAATATCTGACACTTCAGACTAAGTGTGTACAGTGTCTGTCCTGGCCTCATTCTACTCACCTGGTAAAAATGAGCACAAAAAAACACATTGTGGATGTTTATTGGGAATGGGTCTTGTAGCAATAGAAGAGTGCTGTGTGGTTTTGGGGGTTTGTTCGTCCCAAGATAAAGAAATTCATTAGTGTTTGTAAGGAGAGCACAGCTACTTGTGTTATGTCATCAGAAACACTCTGCTCATCTCCAGTTCACTCCCAGAACAGTGGGACTGGGTTACTGTCAAACCTTTTCATGGCTCCCTGGAGTTTTTCCTCCTGCTAAGCCATTGCAGGGAGGGGCAAGAGGGGAGCAAATTGGTGCAGTACTTAAATTGTTTTACATTTGATATTCATGAATTTAAAATGAATTGCAGTGTCAAAATATGCCCAGCTGCATTCTGTGAGAAAATGATTTATTTGCCAGTGTATTAAACTGATTTTCAGCCACTAGTGGGGATTAGATAAAATCTAATTTACTTATGCACAGCCATGTGCTAGTACAGTGGTGATGGTAATAGTGTGATTCTTGTAATAATCACCGGTCTGCCAGAGCAGGGCACCACTTCCCAAAGTTTCACTTTGTTCCTTTACAGTAAATCTCACATTTGTGTCTTTGTTCTGGCACATCCACCATTTCTCTCAAACTGTTACAAACACACACTTGGCCCAGTTCCTGCTGCCACAGTGCTGCAGGTCAGCCCTCCTGCTTCTGGTGTGTGACGTGGCAGTGACTTTGCTGACAGTGTCACAGGAGTGCTGTGGCACAGGCTCCAGTGTAACCTCCGTACAGCCACGGAGCTGCCCTGCATGGAATTGTTGCAACTTGTTGGTGAAAACTGCCTTTGTGTTCAGGTGTCCTCATCCTTTCTTTTGGCTTCCTAAGCATGCTTGTGTCACAGCAGGACTTGCAGAAGTGGCTCTGGCTGTCTCAGCACCACCCAGCAGCCGGGGAGATGGTTCTGGTAGCTGTCACCGGGGGTAGGAACAGGGGCTGGACAGGAACCACCCCTCACTTGCCCCCCTTAAGGTTCTGTGAGGTAAAGAGTCCTGCCTTTAACAGGGAGATTGGTAAGAGAGCCAGCTAAAAGTATTTCTGGTTGTGACTTCTCCAGTGTCTGCTTTGCACTCTAGAAGTGTTTTCAGAACTGCTTCTGAGTGAGTGTCTGTCCTTCCTGCTCAGAGGTACACGCAGAGCAATGGCCGCAGGCCCTTCGGGATCTCTGCCCTCATCGTGGGCTTTGACTTTGATGGGACCCCACGGCTGTACCAGACCGACCCCTCTGGCACATACCATGCTTGGAAGGTGAGTTGGTTCAGTCTCTTGTAGACATGGGATGAAATATTTGTGACTTAATGTTCCCTTTAAAGAGGGACTGGTGTAGAAAGGAGATCTTGCTGGCCAGATGGTACTGGCTCACAGCTGCAAAAACCCTTAATGATCAAATGTACTGAGAGCTGCAGTCTGCAGTTCAGCTTTCCTTGGGAAACCTTTTCCTGCTTCCCAAAAAAAAACCCAAACCCAACCTACCTGTGTGTGACAACTCTCTTTGTGTTTGACATGAGGGAAGCAAGATGTTCAGCCTCCTGAAAAGTACACGGTGATCACAAAACGGCTTCAGATTATGTAATTGTACAACTTGTATTTCTTGCTTATACTGTAAATGAAATCTCTAAAATCCCATTCATTGTCTTTTTCCCCTTAATGTTTCCAGGCTAATGCCATTGGCAGAGGAGCCAAATCTGTGCGTGAGTTCCTGGAGAAGAACTACACTGATGAGGCCATTGAAACGGATGATCTGACTATTAAACTTGTCATCAAGGCTCTTCTCGAGGTGAGGCTCCTTCACATCCCTTGTGTGGCTTTTCACTGGGTGTCCAGATTCACTTCTTACATGTGAATATGGGAAAATCTTCATGGCTGTCCCAGGGAAGTACTGCAAAGGATCTGTGAGAGCTGTTTGCTGTGGGTGTGGAATTAAATTCAAGGTTCAGAATATCTGGCGTAACAATATCCATAGTTTACACAGAAGAACTTACCAGCAGTTCTGAGGAGGAAAACAGACTTCAGTTCTGGGCACCAAAGATGTGTGAAACCACACACTGAATATTATAAGGTATAGAAAATATCCCAGGTCAGGTGGTGGGCTGAGGTGTTCTGGTGTTCTCCAGCCACTGAGGGCACTGGCACCAGCGTGAAGACCCTCGTGTTTTGAGAGTCACACTGCTGCTGGCATCAAGAGCTTAGAGCTAAGGAGTGAAATACTCCCCATCCATATCTGTTCTCCTTCCAAGGAGACCTGAAAGGGCTTTGTTGGAATGAATTATTTGCCATGCTGCTAATGCCTCCCCGTGCCTCTCAGGTGGTGCAGTCTGGTGGGAAGAACATCGAGCTGGCGGTCATGCGACGGGAGCAGCCGCTGAAGGTAAGGCCTTTGTTTGCTTCTCTCCCTTTGAGCCTGCCTCTGATACTGTCCTTGTTGATCTGCCTTAACTCCCAGCCCTTAATCTCATATTCTGCACTGACAAATACTTCAGTTTATTCTTAGTGGCCAAGGAATGTTGTTGTGTCTGCAGCAGGTACCTGCCTCCGGGTAAACAGTTAACGTTCTTCCCATCGCAGAACTAGAATCGCTTCCATAAATGCCTCTAAGTTTATTGGTATCTTGAGGGTCACCTGTGTTTCTCTTTTAGATCCTAAACCCTGAAGAAATTGAGAAGTATGTTGCTGAAATTGAAAAGGAAAAGGAAGAAAACGAAAAGAAAAAACAAAAGAAAACATCATGATGAATGAAATGCAACCGCTTAGCTGCTTGTTTTTAATTCGAGTGATGGGTTTTTCTGTATAGACATGTAGGCATTGCACTTACTCATACTGTGCCCTCTTGAGACCTACAATAAACCTACTGATTTTTTTTTAAAGCTGTTATTTAAAAAAAATCTGTCTGTTCCTTGGATTTTAATTACCCAGGATGATTTGCTTGGCTACAGAACAGCAGCAGTGACCCATTAAAGGACAGAGACTTTGCTTGCATGTTTTTCCCTGGACACTTCACTTTGTTTAATGGATCTTTTCCACACTGTCTCAGTTCTGAGCGTCTCCCTTTATGTTTTTTTAAGCAGCTGTCTTGAGGGTTGTGTTATAGCCTTTACAGAACTAATAAGGAGTTAGGGAAGAAAAAGCCCAAATGGCATCAAGGTGAAAGGGCTGAGTCTGGACACAGGCCTTTCAGCAGCCTGTGACAGCAGGTGTGTGTTTTACTGCTGAAGGATGGGACAGAGATGGTGGGGCTGTGTTTTGGGAGTCAGCAGGAGAAGCCACTGCTGCAGGCACATCCCCAGGGCAGAATTGCATGACTTGGTGCTTCCATCAACTGTGCATGGCTGGTGTGGGTCAGAATAAAGCATTGCTGTTGTGATTGCCCACGAGGGGATTCATACACCGGGAACTAAAGAACTACACCCACTGTTACATACAACAGAGCTGAACCACAAAGCTCTACTCCTTTCATTTTTGCCTTCACATACTTCCTCTCTACCCCTTACACCTGGACTTGGTTTTAGCTCTTGTTTCATGATTGTTCCCAGTCCCAGTGGTTGTGTGAGCAGGGCTGCAGGGACCTGCTGCTGTGCACTGAAACCACATTGCTCTTGAGGCAGGATCTGTTCTGCAGCCATTCACATATATAATGGCATATGCTATGGATAAATGTGAAGGTGTGAGGTGGCAGCTGTTTACTGAGATGCTGTATAACCAGCCCAGAAGAGATGTGACTGGGAACGGGGAATTTTATTTCAGGCAGGTGTTTGCATTGCGGCATCTCCACTGCCCAGCTCTGGTCACCGAGAAGCTCTTTCCAGCAGGTTCATCAGCTGCCACCACCTCTGGGCTGTGGGAGGACTGGTCAGGAGGATTCTCTGAGTACAGGGACCTCAGTGGCACTGAGGAGGCAGGAAGGGGCCATCTGGAAGCTGAGGCTCTTCCTGCAGGCAGGGTTTGGCAGGGTCAGAACAGGACCCAGCTGGCAGCAGGCACAGCAAGGACTGAACGTGGCCCAGGAGCCTGCAAGAGGCAGCTCAAGGACTGGAGGAGCCAAAGGCAGCAAACACAAACGTGCAGCAGCACTCACACAATCCCTGAGCTCTCACACCACTGAGCTGTTTACAGAGAGAGGCTGCAGAGAAAAGTGTGGGCAGAGGATCCCGCAGGAGTCAAGGACAGGGAAGCAGCAGCCCCGTTACTGCTCAGGGAAGCGTTAGACCACATCAGCTGGAGAAAGTGAGATGCTGGAATACTGTGTCACTTTGTTCATCAGCCCTTGGACTGGAAGTTAAAAAAGCTGCATTTGGTTCCTTGTACAAGTCACCACAATCATTCCTCTCATTGGGAATCCTTCCTGGGGAAGCCCACAGGGCTGCAGCTGAGCCCCCAGAGCAGCCTTCAACAGGGATGAGTGCTCCTGGGGAGAAAGGCTCAGGGGTAACAAGCACTGGGGCTGAGCCACAGCAACCCGTTCCCTCACTGCTCCCAGACAGCAGGACACTGGGTTCAGAGGCTGGAACACATCCATCCATAGGACACAAACTTTAGCAATGTCAGTAACAATGACGTGTCTTACACCTGGGATTTGAGGCTTTCCTGTGGAAACAAGGGAATTGCTGCCATTCAAATAAAAAGGCACAGTTACATGGTGATTACACAGGAGCGATGATGATTTCTCAGTTTGCCTCAGCCACCTCTGGCAGGGCAATGGACTGGCAGCACGATTCCATCTCCACACTTGGAGCCACACTGGCTGCTTCAGCAGCAGAGAAAGCAGAGGCTCTCAGCAGCTCCAGAGCCCCTTCAGCACCCCTTGTTTCACAGCTGAGCCCAGGTCCTGCAGCAGCAGCACTGCACTTGCAGCAGGCTCCAGGTGAGCCCCAGCAGCCCAGGGACTCAGCTCCACACAGGCTGGGGTAATAGAACCCTCATTAAGCTGATCCCCCAGCACAGGAACCAGGGCAACATTAACAAGGAGCAGTGCCTGGATTTGGGTGTTTTGAGCCCTTTTCCAGTGCTGTGTAGCACTTCCCAGGCTTGCCAGAGCTCTGCAGCCAGGTTTTCTCCAGCTTGGCACAGAGCCCCAAGGACAGGCACCCGGCAAGTTGGAGGGAGTGATGTTACCGAGCTACACACAGAACAGAGGTGGAGGGAAACATTAAACATTTACATGTTTATTATAATTACAATTTACATTACTCCAAAGAGCAGCCCCACTGCTATGTTCTAATTCTTAGCAATAAAGTCCTACAAAAATAAATCCAAGCTTTTACAGTAACCTAGGTCAATGCATAACTAAAAAACTCGAGCTATGTAAGGGGTTCAGTCATCAAGGTGCTTTTTCAACAAAATTCCCTACCAACCAAAAACGGGACACATGCCTATAGCAATTTAACCCACTTATTCATGCAAACAAAGGTAAGCCCTCCCTCCCAGCCCTCTCCCCACATACAGATTTTTAAAAACAAAAGAAAAAACAACTAAACTATTTACAGTATGGGGGTATAGAGGAAAGAAATTAAACATGCCCATCTGTTAAGCTTCATTATAATGGACTTCCATCCCTAGCTGAATGAAAACATTCCAAAGTGTTCCACCACAGTCTACTAGAGTACAGAGAACTGTTTGCATGTGGTGCTGCCTCCAGCGAGGTACAAACCGAGGCAACGGGTCAGAGCTTTGGGTCTCCACTGCCAAAAACTCTGCACTGAGCACACGAGGGGACACTCACTGCTCCCGTCCCACACGCTATCCCCATGCTCCATCCAGGAGCTCCAAGCCCCCGAGGCATTCCCAACCCCCTTCAGCTCGAGGGAAAGCCTCGGTTCTGCAGTACCTCCAGCCCAGCACCAGCCCACAAACAGCTGTACAGTCAGTTACACTACTACATGATCAACACTCCAGTATTCCCAAGTGACAATATACACAACTCCTCAGCACCAGGAATCCATTCCTTCAGATACCAAGTGCTGCTTCACACCTGCTGCCAAGAACTGTGAGACCAGCAGCACCAAAGAATCCATTTGGTTACTCAGAACAAAACGAATTGTAGCTGGTTTATTTTGAGTGAGCTTTGGTTCCGTGTTAAAACAACATGATTTATCTTCTCCAGGGTTCAGAAAAGGAGTCTGACTTTGAGCTTAGACTACAGCAGCCTTTGAGAGACCCAGAAAGAAGAACTGTGTAAGTTAGTATGCACTTAAAAAATACACACACACACACAAAAAAAAAAAAGACACCCTGAAGAAGGTACCCCTGAACACATTCCCTCTTCCAAAGAATATTCCAGCTGACTGTTGCTGGTCCAAAAATAAGTCCAGAATATAAGCAGTAGTACATGAAGTTCTGTCACTTGAGCTGAGACAGTAAACAATATGAACCATTTTCCCACGTTAGTGCAGCAGTTGGTTGTTTTCTTTCTATGTACAGTTTCACCCTCTCAGGAGAGATGTTCAAACCTATTTGGAAAAGAGGTAGAATTAGATTTGATATCATGGAGATCTTCTCCCAAGAGAAATAAAAGCAGCAAAACTCACACCCCTGTATCAAATGAAATGCTTAGCTAGAAAGGATCAGCTCAAGCAGCTCCTGCTTTCTCAGACAGGTGAGCCCAAGAAATCAACAGCACAATCAGCATGTTAAACACCAGGTTACATCACTCCTATCCTCCTCAGAAAGATCAATCAGATCCAGTAAGGAACAATTCTTGACATATCCATGAGACTGGAGAGCAAAAGAGGCTGCACAGACAGTTCAGGTAAGGAATAAGAGACAAACCTGGCTCAGAGACAGTATTTACTCTTGCTAGAGCACTTGCCTCTGAAGTTACACTCTGCCAGTACCAGCTCTGTGAGTGGTTTGGTTTCTCCTCGCTGCTCCACTCCCCCTTCCACCTCGAAATCCACCTCGAAAGCTGCGGCCACGAAGGAACCGTCCAGACACTCCGAACGTCTCTGTATTGAGCTTCCTTTCCTCAGCCCACGTGGTGCGCCTGGAACTGAACAAGGCTGTGTTCAGGTTCAACACAAACATTCAAGAGCCACCAGCTCACTTAGCCAGGAAGCCTCAACTCCCCAGTTTTGTTGAGCTGAGTTGCAACAAGAGCCAGCTGCAGCACACACATTCAAGCCCTCTGCAGAAACACTGCCAAGGGAATCCCTCATGCTGACACTGAAGGGATGTCTGACTTCTCCAGGCACTTGATAACATCAGTGTCAGCAGTGAAAGCTGAAGCTTTCCCTTCATATTCCCAACATTTAACTTAATGCATTTCCACAGCCAGACCTGACCTCCTCCCTGCCCCAGCTCCAGGCTTAGCTCACTCCTGTCTGCCAGCTGCACCTTCAGCACAGCATGACCCTGATGCCTCCTCTCCCACAAACCAGATAAGGAATTTGTTTAAAATCAATGGGTTCAAAGTCAGTACTGGGAAACAAAACTCGAAATTCCTGTATCATCGTTTAGGCAAGTGCATCATTATGAGCTGAAATGCTTTTTGTTTGATCCCACTGCATGAAGGCCGGTTAGGATTCCTTGTGAGCCACCAAATGCACGGCAATACTCCCTTTTAAATCCTGTTTTGCTGAATTTCTTGCATTCTGAAAATTTTAAATACTTTTAAACCATGTCACATAGATTATGTTTAGAATTTTATGCCTAAAATTCCATTTAAAAACCAAGCCTTTAGAAAACACTCACCTCGATTTCAGTTCTGAAGAAATGTTGTCAAAGAAAGACTTGGATTTATCATAATAGCAGTTGGGCCCCAGCAGATCCTCCTCTGCATTACCATCATTGTTTTGGGTTGCCACTCCAGGGTCCCCTTTTTCTTCCCCCGTCTCTGCTTTGTCATCTGAAGATAATGAAATGTATTACACTTCCTTGAGGCACACTGCAGAGCCATCTGTTCTCTTGCTCCCTCAAACAAGATTTGAGATGTAATCATGCAGTTTCTCAGAATGAGTTTGTCTATGCAGTGTTTACTATCTCAG